CAGCAGCGCAGCAGACGGCTGGTGATGCCGTCTGGCCCCGCCGCTTTCCTTGTGTGTGTGTGTGTGTGTGTGTGTGTGTGTGTGTGTGTGTGTGTGTGTGTGTGTGTGTGTGTGTGTGTGTGTGTGACCCCATAAACGACTTCCGTAAACCTGCTGGTCTGGAAGTCCAGCAGTTCATCTAAACAAAAGGCACTTAGACTAAAACTGACATAACTACGTTTATCCTACCACAAAACAATAGGAGAAGGTACGACCTGTCGCATGCTCCCAGGATGTGGGTGTGAATGCTGGAGCACTCTGAAATGCACACGAAGTCTTTGCAGACTATTAGGGATCAAACCTCTACCAACATGACATTGATTATACACTCTAAGCATATATGAGTAGATATTTCTAAGCATAAATGACAATCAACAATACAAATCTAACAGGATGTGAGTGAAAATTTTCTACTTAAAAGCTCGTTAAAAAATCACCTTGCTGCATTTACATATAAAGGATCTTCACATACTTTGCCTCCCCATGTAAAATTTCCTAGATCTTCCGCCAGTCAAATGGTATACCTGGGGTATCATACTGTTGCTATTTGTGTAGCTGTTCCCTCGCTGCCTTGGTTTCATAAATGACAGTGTTAATTTTTGTGAAGGAGATAATAATAATAATAATAATGGATTGCATTTATGTGACCCGTGGTAGGTATAGTAGGCCACTCACACTGAACCCCAGCTGGGCAAAACACAGGCAAATCTTCAGTGGTGTCTATATATATATATATATATATATATATATATATATATATATATAAAGGTGTTTTCATGTAAAAAACTAAAAGACAATCAATATCTGCTGTGTCTACTGATACAGAAAAATAAAACAAGAAGCAAACACAATCGACAGCCACAGCAGTCACAGTCCATTGATTTACACCAGGTTAAAACAAATCAAAATACACTGATGTGTCGGGTCCTTTGCCCGCAGCCAGAAATCCACTTGGCAAAGCAGCAGCTCGGTACTCTGTAAATGAAAGCAGGAGATGACTTACGCTGGACAGTAAAACACAGGAATATCCCTCCAACTGTATTGTTTTCCTTACCTGTCCACAAGTTCCCGTCACACCCTAATAAATATTGGTCAGTGGCGGTGGAGTCCACTACACATTTCTCACAAGAACGCAATGTTTCCCACCTACAAGGGTGCAAATAACTTTAAATCTCTGCTAAACGGCCAGAACTCATCTCATGACTCATGAGATGCCACTGACAGCCAGTTGGTGGAAAATAGTCTGCTCATGTCACATTTTCAGATTGCTTAGAGCCCCAACAAAGTAGGTACTACAGAAGTACCCGGTGCCAGGAACTACCACCTAATGAAAAACTTAATTGGAACTTCAGTGGAGCAAAGTTTCAGGTCAGACTCAGTGACACTCAGTGACATATCACAGCACTTCCACACTCCACAAACGTTAGCTGTGAGACATGGATGAAATAAACAAAACCAAAACCTTTAACCCACAGAGACCATCAGCTTGTGTCTCTCTTGTCTCCCCTCAACAGGCCGAGCTGTGAGACTTAAACACAGGAACCACCAGCAGAGTCTGCAGCCTCTCTGTCCAGAGCAGCTTTGCAGAATTCATAGTTCACAATAATTTAATCTGATATTGGTGCAGCTCCTCAGTCCATCCTCAGTCTGACAGAAGCAGCTTTAGCTGTGTGGAAACTTCTCATCTGGGTTTTATCTTAAATATTTTGCATTCAGACGAAGAAGAAGATGTCTTGTTCACACATTTTTATACACTAACTGCATGTTACAGCTGTGTTTAAACAGTATTTATAATGATGCATCGGTGGGTGAGTGCAGATATTTTTCCAAAGAGCCAGTGGTTCCACCTCTGGGCGGAGTCACCGCAATCCAGCGTGCAGTCCACACCTGTTGGCAATCAAGCTGTTGGTACTTAAGACCAGCGATGGTCCTTTGCCAGATCTTCCTCTAACCTCTGTTAGTGTGGGCCGCCACAACGCTCGTGAAACTTTGCTCATCTTGTGCTCTCTCTGTTTACAGTAATCCACCTGGTCACCTCGCTGAAACATGACTCACCTTCAACACTCACCTTCAGTAGGATGCTGGTCTTCTTGGCAGCTTCTTGGTCACTCCTTATGCTCACTTCACTCACCTAACTCGACTACTTGATTCCTCTAGATTTATCTCTGCTCACCTGGTTCACTTACCCTCTCCACGCCATCAATCCACCTGCAATAAGTAAGACATTTCACGACCTCGTTTTCACTCACCTGAACTGCATCCAAACACCTTTTGAACCTCGTCTCCTCTCATTACTGTAACTCTGAGCCTCCTGGTCCAACCCCTCAGTCTAACTACCCCTTTGCCCCAAAGTCACAGTGTTCAAGGGAAAACTGCTTCATAGTATTTCCTGTTTATTTCATAGCTCACGTTTGCATCATAATTCACAGTTCATGGTTTGAGTCTCAAGTTGTATATTTTGTTATCATGTTTATCAGTGCCTCCATCTGTGTCTGTGAGTCCGTTCTCCTGGTTTGGCCTCCCAGCTGTGACGCCATCTTCTTTCAGTGCAGAACGACACACTAACCACAAGGAAGAAAGCCGACACGTTCTCGTCAGTGTCCTCAGATTCAGTCTGACTGCAGCCAACAACAGGAAGCTTCTGCTGTCGTTTCACTGAACTCAGTTTGCAGAAGTTAAAAGACGTAAAAGGTTTTAAAATGTTTCACTGCGTTATTGGACAGTTCGGGAGGCTGAGAACACTTTGTTTTGTTCAGCCTTCTTCTTCTTTATATAACTCATATTAACAACTAACTCATCTTTTTTAGAACTTATGTGTGAGCTGAAGTTGTGCGACTTCTGAAACACACTCGAACACAGACGGATAAAAACCACGTGAACATCCTCAGGACCTTTTTATGCAGAAGTGAAGAAGAGCAGCTTTACCTCTTATCTGTGATCGTTTGTTCTTGTCTGTGATGATTTTTCCATAAGTGACGTCTTCAGTTCTCACTGCTGAGTAAACTGCAGCTGGATCAGCGTCTGCACAGTAAAACACACACAGAGGACGTCACTGCAGACAGAACAGCTGAGAACAGACATGAAACTGCTGCCACTCACCAATCTTTATATAAAACACTCAGAGAGTTTTCAGTTACTGCTCAGGTTATTTTAGAAATTTAAAATAGTTTAACATGAAGTCAAATGTGAGATAAACACACCTGATAAAGGAGCCTCACAAAAGCTGAATGTTGGTTATTTGCACTAACAGGATATTAAAGTCAGCTCACATGTTAGCCAATCAGACTAACAGGCCGTCACTATTAAAATATTAACTTTACCAGAATTTATCAGAATTTAGATACTGAGACAGAAGGAATGTAAGATGCTGGTGTCATAAATATGAAAGACTAAACGTTAAAAGGAAAACTGTGAATAATACAGCAGGAAATGTGCTTAATTTACACAAATAATAAAATATATTTTCATGTTTAGTAAATATGATAACAGTGTCTGACCTGTGTGAGTTTACAGAAATGCTCTTACAAATAACTCACGTGTTTCTTCCTCTATTTAAAATTCACACCTCTGTGTTGAAGCACACGTAGATGAAGCTTTTTTTCCTCAGAAACAGTCGCAGACTCGTTAGTGTTAACCACAGACGACAAACACACAGAACTTAACATGGTGTGAAAATCTACAGACAGACTGATATATATTTGACTGATACCATCATGCTGTTAAATGTAAAATCATTTACTCATAATCCAAACTGGGTTTATCTTACACATCATCACAGGCTTCCAGTTTCTTAAATTCAGCTACTTTTGCTTCTATGACATAATTAATCTTAATCTAATTTAATGTTAACCTAATTTAACATTAAATCTTAATTCCGTCCAGCTCTGTGTCTCTGACTCCTCCCACTACAACACTGAACAAACCAAGAGCACCAAATGCTGCAGTTCCTCTAATGTCCACTTGAGATTTGTAAAGTCAGTCACTCTCCATAGACACTCATGTGAACATGTTCAACTTTACAGCAGAAATAAAAATTTATACAACCTGCTATTAAAAATATATTTGGTCTCTATAGCTAACCCTCTCCTTCATACGAAGTATGCATGAGTTGAATGCCTTTATAACGCACCTGTTCAAATGTTAATGAGGCTGAAAGTTTGCATTAATAGGGGCGTGGCCTCTTTGAGAGGTCGATGGACACAGGCTGCTGTAACTGCCAACTGTCTGTTAGGCTTCACCTCAGCCAATTGGACCTCTGGACCATGTTTGTGCTTTGGGGGTATTTTTAATGCAAATGTGTAACCAATACTATGTGGCTTATTGCATAAACAAACATTACCAGTTCTGGTAAGTTTAAATCTAGGATCTTGTTTTTATGTTACAAAGCTCTATTTAGCGGCTATCAGTGCCTTTCTGTTGACTCCTTACAGTCTATGGAAGCAGCTTGATAACCAAGCTATCTGACACTAGCTAATAAATTAGCACTGCACCCTTTCATCAAAGCTAAATCGCTCTTGGCAATAAAGACAAACATGATGTTGCTAAAAATGTTAAGGCTGGAAAAAGCAATGGAGATTTAAAACAGAGAGATTCAAATCTCCATGTTTGAATGAAGTGAACATACAGTTCACACCTCACCCTGGGCCCCCCAAATTACTTCTGCTTTGTTTGACTGTGTGCTGTTGGTATGTGATACTTTGATATCAGTGTATGTGAATCATCTTCAGCAGCTTTGTCTGAATATGCTGAAATTCCACAGTGATATAATCATAATTAAATCATAACAAAACCAGATATATCAGGAAGCATCAATGTTTAAAACAAATGAGAACAAACCCTCAGAAGCAAGGCGTTTGCCATGGGAATAAGTGCTAAGAAATTAAAAAAAGAAATACAAATCACATTTTTATTTTCTTACTGCAGATTTGCTGCAAAATGCATTTTTTTTAATTCCAGTTAAAATGTGTTGTATGTAATTTTTTTTGAGTTGTTTAACTCATTTCACTTCTACAAAAGAGGCACATAAAAAACACATAAAAAGCATAATTTTTAAGACATGAAACATTTTTATAAAACCATGAAGCTGTGATTCCTTATTAAAGGACACTTTAAAAAATCCATGATGCAATTTTTGAGTCCTATGGGTCTATGGGTTTTCTCAGTGAGAAAAAAAAAGACTTAAGACATTTAAAAATCTGTGGATGTCCTCTGGTCTGAAGTGCTGGGCAGACCAGTTAAAGACCAGCAGCTGGACGTCAATGGTTGGACTGGTGGACTACTTCAGTGAAGAGTAGACGACGTCTGGCTCTGGTTTAAAGTCTGAACACAAACACACACAGGTCAAACAACAGGAAACATCATTACAAGCTTTGTAGTTCAATCCAGACCTCCAATCTCCACCTCTCTGCATCACACACAGTTCAGACTTTACTGGGAACCAGCTCAGATACAAATCAGAGCTTCCGTATGAATAACATTGTAGTCCAATTTAGATGTTGGTTGGGGTTGACGTTCTGATATAAGATATTCACAGCAATTGACCTTATTTTTACCAACTCAGAGACCTTGTTGTACGACCTTCTCTACTCCGTTAGTACATTTCCCCCAGAAAAGGCCAAGAAAGTCATTTATATCATTTATGGAGGCTTTTGGCTCTTGTGCAGGTTGTCTTCAGACTGTTGGTGGCCTACCTCATTTGTACTGATTCCTAAACAATGAATGCTATAGTAAAGTTGAAAGTTTGCACTTCAATCACATCTTGATTAATTGATTTTAAACCTGCTGTGTTGGTGCACCGATGCAAAATTACAAAATTATATCCAATAAATTTTGAACATCACTGTAAGTTTGGGTATCTTTAATCTGATATTACATAACAGATGCTGTATTTTACATTTGAGGTGGACATTTTCTGCCAATTTCTAGCTGCATGTTTTTCTTTTCTACTACAGTAGCTTTGCATGATTCACAGTTCAGTATAATCCTTCTTTACATGGGGCCTTTGTGCAGCCTCTGTCTGATGCCAGCTGTGTTCCCTCCTGTCCCTTTAATCAAAACTCTCTTCTGATTGGTTGATTAAACAGCACGTGGGTGGGGCTTGACTGGTTGAGATGGACATATTGATACCCTGCCTCTATGACATCATTCACACACAACAACAAATAAAAATAGACTGTGGTAGAGTGTTTGGAGCACTCTGCTTTCTGAGCTTTTTGCTCACAGAGATTATTATTATTATTATTATTATTAATATCATTATTATTAATATTATTATTATTATTATTATCATTATTATCATTATTATCATTATCATTATCATTATCATTATTATTATTATTATTATTATTATTATTACTGTGATGATATTTGTTGTATAAAAATGTATTAAAGCTTAAAACGTAATATCATAGTTGTTGTTCAGCATTGTTTCAAGACCAACAGGGGTGGATTTAACGAAGCTCACATCTTGCTGCTCATGTTTCTTTAAATGAACTAGACAACTTAACAGGAAATCATTTGTCACGGAGAGCTCACAAGTCTGAGCTCGAAGCCTGAGCAATGATGTGGTTAGCTTAGCTTAGCATGATGTGTGGAAACAGGTTGTGCGGTTGGGTTTTCTCTGTTAGAGAGCAGTTGTACCTTGGACTCCTCTTTCTGATGGTTTTGTCTCCAATACTGACGTCTTCAGCTCTCACTGCTGAGTAAACCACAGTTGTATAAATCTCTGCAAAATAAAACACATTTAAATTACAGCAGGAATGAAATCTGCACATTTTCTTTATTATTTGTCTAAAAAAAATCACTCATTTTTTACAGAGAGCAGCAGGTTTTTGCTTTTTCCTCATTTTAACACCTCTGAATAACAGAAACCGCCGGCTTTTGTGTGAAAAAAGAACCTGGTGTCCACAAAGCTGCCATCTTCTTTCAATACAATCAGACACACTTCATCATGAAGCAAATATGTTGTCCCAACATGAAAACTGTTATTAGACAAAGTAGCACATGCGGCAGTGACAAATCTAACCAGAACAACAAAACTCTCTCTGAGACCGGAAACCACCTAAGATCCCAGATAAAGTGTTTCCAGTTAATGTTACATTTTTTCCTGTGTTGCAAGTGTCACTCTGCATTTAACTTTCAGCAACAGGAAGTTGCTGCTGTGGTTTTACACGCAGGAGGTAATAAAAATATATAGACAAATATATAGACAAATCATCACATTAAGACCCAGTCTGAAAGAATGAAAGAAAAACACATAGTGATATTTTTCTCTCCATACCTTTGACATTACAATTTCTTGACAACTTGTGTGTCACCAAAACCAAAATCAAACACATCTGAGCAGTTACAGCTTTGACACCTGTTCTCTGGGCCAGTTAAAATACAGACGAGCCACATTTGAATCAAACTATTCAAATGAGCTTTTTTTAAATTCGAAACAACTGATCATCTCAATGCAGTGCAGGTAATACAAACTGACAACAACCCACCTTCAGGTTTCAGGTCAACATCTCTTCTCACCAGTAGAGCCAGTAACACCAGTAGAACCACAACACAGACTGACCCAACAGAGATTAACACAGGAAGAACAAGAGAGGCTGATGTAGGGATAGAGGTGGATGTATATATAGGTGTGGGAGTAGATGGAGATGTGGTTGTAGGTTTCCCTTAAACATACAACATGTAATCATTAGTTTACTGTGAATGTTGAAAGCTGCAGAAACACAGACAGGTGAGTGTGTCACCTGTGACAGTGATCCAGCTGGATGGAGACTCTCCATGACCGCTGATGTCACACTTGTAGAGGCCTTCATCAGACCTGGAAACATGCTGGATGGTCATGTGACCTGTAGGCTGCTTCCTGATGAGGGAGCCATCTTTATAGAAAGCAGCTGGGAGGTTGGAGGGAGTGGTCTTTGTTTTACAGAGCAGAGTGACGTCATCTCCCTCCATCACAGGGAGGACAGGACTCTGCAGGATCACTGATCCACCTCAACACAGAGACAAACTACAGCATTTCATCCATTTACACACAGCTTCATCAACACTAACTCCACACACTCAGCTTACCAGTGACTGTCAGGTTAACCATGTTACTGATGGGACCCTCTCTGGACTCACACCAATAAACTCCACTGTCATGAAGCATCATCATGCCGATGTTACAGGAAGAACCAGCATCTTCTCCCCAAATATCTCCACACTGAGTCCTCTGTCGTTTGCTTGTGTTTCTCCTCAGAGTCCATCCAGCAGAGCTGTCGTCCTCCTCACAGCTCAGAGACACAAAGTCTCCTTCAAAGAACTGAGAGCTGCTGGGACTCACAGTCAGACGAGCTGTGAGGGTTACAATGAAAAACTGATGATCACGTCTTTGAGATCTTTACTGAAAGTTTTAATCCAAATGTGTGAAACCTGTCAGAGTTTATCAGGTATAGACTGTGACAGAAGAAGGTTACTGACCTTGGTTTGTTGTGCAGCTCAGCAGTGAGATCAGAACTAAAGAGAAATGACACTCAGGTTGATTTGAGGTGAATGTAAAGAACAACTTCGTAATATTTGATAATAATGAATTCTACAATGAAACTAATCACAACATTTCATATTTCATGCTCTAATGTAGTTACTGTTACAAAAGGAATCACATACAGTTATGTTGTAATAATATGTAACTGTATGTATTAGTAAATACAAAAGACTAGCACTAAACTGAGGTCCACGTAAGAGTGCACCACTCTGCTCTGTTCTTACAAACACCAACATTTTATTTCAGCTTTTCACTCATAAATTCAAAATCTAATCAAATCAAAATTTATTTATATAGCACATATTAAAACAACAGTGTTGACCATAGTGCTTCACAGTCAGTAATTCATCAGTAACTCTGTGAAACTTCAGACCTGCAGTTGGTCCTCGTGGTGTTTGAACTTGAACTCAGCCTGATTTGTTTTTCATGTCTTCTCCTCCATCATCAGTTATCAGGAGAGCAGACAGTCAAAGTACAAGAATTCAAACAAACACAGAGATTCTACTTACAGAGCAGACACAGCACAGATGTTTCCTTCATCGTCCTTCTCACCCATTTGAGCTTTTTTTCATTTCTGTCACTGACACCAAGTAAAGCCCGCCCTCTTCCTCTGAGCACGTATTCTTCCTCTATTTGAGAGTTATTGGTGGATTTCTAACCTATTAATGATTCATGTGATAAATTTATTCCAGAATATGAACTTAGACACTCTGCAGTCCCTCTTTTGTTGCAAAACCTTTAAAATTAAGTTGTTTTTTTAAGTGTAACACACAGAAACACATAAAACCTTTTGTGCTTTCAAAAGTTAAGAAACCAGCAACGTTGTTTTGACATAATTTGAGGTTAACTGAGATGATTACATGATATTTGAGTTTCTCTATGATAATCGATAAAGCACATCCTGACATTATGACTTCATTCACAACAAATCAATTAAAAATATCATTTAAAACATCGACTGTACTTCAGTCTGCTGTCAGTGTTGTAGCTTAGTTAATGAAACAAACGACAACCATTATAACCATTTAGTGGACGTCCCCCTGAGGCAGCATGGTGATTCTGTTGTCTGACTGGAAGAAGGTGCTGGGTTTGAATCCAGCCTCCATCTTTCTGTGTGAGCCAATCACATTCTCTCACAGTTTCTCCTCTCAGCACCTTTGCTGTGAGCCAATCGGTGAAAGGATAGAACTGTGACGCCTTTGTGCTAAAAGCAAAGCCGCCATCTTCTCTCAGTGCAGACTGACACACTAACCACAAGCAAGAAAGCCGACATGTTCTCATCAGTGTTGTCAGACTCATACCATAACACCTTTACTGATAAAGCACTTTAACATAAACCAGGGTTCACAAATGTATGTTGTTCATATATAAATAACATAAACAGAAAATAAAATCATATAAAATAGAGTCACCCTCTTAAAAGAGTGCCAAAGGCATCAGCACATAAACGTGCTTTAAGAAGCGTTTTAAATTCAGAAAGCAATGAGGCCAACATGGCTAACATGGAAGGATCATTGCACAACTTCGGAGCAGCTACAGCAAAAACGTGGTCACCTCTAAATTTGTGCTTAGTTTTTGGCACCATAGGCAGAGTTTCAGGCTGAGAGCAGCCAACAACAGGAAGTTTCTGCTGCGGTTTTACTGAATTCTGTTTGCAGAAATTAAAATAAAAGGTTTTAAAATTGTGTTAAAGAACAGTTTGAGAGGCTGAAAACACTGTTTGGTCTGTTCAGCCTTCTTTATACGACGCATTAACAACAAATTCATCCTTTTAGTTGTGCAACCTTTAAGGCACAAATAAAAGAGAAAGAGCTGCTCCAGTGTTACAGATCACATGACCATCCTCAGGATGCTTTAATCCAGAAGTGATGAAGAGCAGCTTTACCTCTTATCTGTGATCGTTTGTTCTTGTCTGTGATGATTTTTCCATAAGTGACGTCTTCAGTTCTCACTGCTGAGTAAACTGCAGCTGGATCAGTGTCTGCGCAGTAAAACACACACAGAGGACGTCACTGCAGACAGAACAGCTGATAACAGACATGAAACTGCTGCCACTCACAAATCTTTATATGAAACACTCCGAGTGTTTTCACTTACTGCTCAGGTTATTCTAACCTCATGTTAAAATAGTTTAACATGAAGTCAAATGTGAGATAAAGGAGAAACTGAATGGTTAACATTCAGTTCCTCAGAGCAGCTGAATGAAGCTGTGAGGAACCGAATGTTAGTTAATTGCACAGAATATTAAAGAAGTGAGTTATTAAGTATATTTTCATATTTAGTAAATATAGCAGTCTTTGATCTGTCAGAGTTTAAAGAAATGCTCTTGATGATAATAACAGATTGCATGTATATAGCGCTTTCTAGGCACCCAAAGCGCTTTACAATTCGTTCACTCTAACATTCACACACTGGTGAAGGCAAGTTACAGTGGTAGTCACAGCTGGAGCAGACTGACAGAAGCGAGGCTGCCATATTGCACCATCGGCCCCTCTGGCCAACACCAGTAGGGTGCTGCAGCCACTGAAGGAGCTGCTCAGGGATGACAGCTTAGCCACCATTCTCCCTCACTCACCACACTGGAAGTCTACCACCAGCTTCTTGGTTTTATTAGTGCTGATCTGGAGGTAGTTCCGCTGGCACCAGTCCACAAAGTCTCTGTACTCCTTGTCGTCCCCATCAGTGACGAGGCCGACTATTGCAGAGTCATCAGAGAACTTCTGCAGGAAGCACTGGGTGGAGTTGTGGGAGAAGTCTGCAGTGTAGATGGTGAAGAGGAACGGAGCCAGAACCGTTCCCTGTGGGGCCCCCGTACTGCAGACGACCCTGTCCGACACACAGCCCTGAGTCCTCACATACTGTGGTCGGTCAGTGAGGTAGTCCAGAATCCAGGTAGTGAGGTGATGGTCCACTCCTGCTTGTCCTTCAGGACTGTGGGAAGAATGGTGTTGAAGGCACTGGAGAAATCAAAGACCATGATTCTCACAGTGCTCCCAGCGGTCTCCAAGTGAGAGAGGGAACCATGTAGGAGGTGAATGACGGCATCATCCAGTCCAGTGCCAAGTGAAGCCGTCTTCCTCTGAGCACCAGCTTTTCTATTGGTTCAAACACAGAGGTGGAGGGCTACGTTTTTTCTTTGTGAAAAGACAACTTAAAAAAAACATTCAAACATGAAGCTTTTTTTTATAGACAGTGGCAGAGAAAAGGACATTAAAGAAACTGATGGACATTATGAACAATGCCAGGCATCCTCTGCACACGGCCATTAACAACCAGAAGAGTCTGTTCAATGACAGGTTGCTTCTCCCCAAGACAAGAACTAACAGACTTAAAAACTCCTTTGTCCCACACACCATCAGACTGTTTAACTCCTCTCTGGAGGGGAGAGGGAGGGGAGACAGGAGGACAAAGGAGGGGGGAACAACTAAGCTGTAGTGCCTCTTCACCTCACTGTGCAATACCTTGTGCAATACTTTTTTGTAAATAGTCAACGGTGCAATAGACCTCAATACTTGAAATGTGCAATTCACTTGTATTTTTATTTTTATTCCTATTTATTCTATTTATTTATTATATCTATTTATTTATTTCTATATCCCCTTTGTATATTTTATTTATATTTGTCTCTGTATTTATATATGTGTGTGTATGTGTGTGTGTGTGTGTGTGTGTGTGTATATATATATATATATAATATTCTGTAACTCTGTAACTTCTGTCGTTGCTGTGCTTTTTTTGGAAATCAAATTTCCCAGAGGAACCCAGGGATTAATAAAGTTCTATCTTATCTTATCTTTTATCTAGAAAAGCTAAAAAATGTATCATTGAGTAGTTTTTCAACATAATTTGAGTTTTGTGGTAAATTTTTATATGTACTTATATGCCACAATTTTACTCTCTTAAGTGCTTTCTGTCTAACATTCAAACTGATGGATGCATCAGACAAAAAGTTTTTATGGTAAATGGCCTGTATTTATATAGCGCTTTACTAGTCCCTAAGGACCCCAAAGCACTTTACATATCCGGTCATCCACCCATTCACACACACATTCACAC